TATCAGATTGCTTGCTGTGTTGGGGAAAGGGGAGGGGAGGCAGAAAAAAAATTTGTAACTCAAAATCTTATAAAAGTGAATGTTGAAAACTGTCTTTACATGCAACTAGAAAAAATGAAATCCCATTAAGTGGAAAAAAAAAGAAATATGATCTCTGGGCTCTTTTTTTGATCATGGCTTTCAGGTAGCTCAATAATTCTTTCATTATCTCTCTTCCATCTATTTTCCAGGTCAGTTTTTTTCACATTTTCTTTTTTTTTTTTCATTCTTTTGACTTTGCTTTGTTGTTTCTTGATGTCTTGTGGGGTCATTAACTTCTACTTGGCCAATTCTAATTTTTAAGGAATTATTTTCTTCAGTGAGTTTTTGTATTTCTTTTTCCATTTGTCCAATTCTACTTTTTAGGGAGTTTTCTTCAGTGAATTTTTGTTCCTCTTTTACCATTTGTCCAATTCTGTTTCTTAAGGCGTTATTTTCTTCAATATTTTTTGTGTGTCCTCTACCAAGCTATTAATTCTCTTCATAATTTTTTTGCATTAATCTCATCCCCACCCCCAATTTTTCCTCTACCTCTCTTGATTTTTAAAATCCTTTTTGAGCTCTTCTAGAAATTCTTGCTGGGCTTGTATCCAATTCACTTTTTCTCCCCCTTTGAGGCCTTGCATGTAGCTGCCTTAACATCAACATCTTCTGACTTTGTGTCTTGATATTCCCTGTCACTACAGTAACTTTTTATTGTCAGCTTCTTTTTTGTGTGTTGTCTGCCTATTTTTCCAGCCTATTTCTCGACTTTTAACTTTATGGTAAAGTTGAGCTCTGCTCCTGGGGTGAGGTGTGCACTGTTTCAAGCTTCAGGTTATACATCCTGCTGTTTTCAGAGCTAGTTTTGGGGGTTCTATAAGTTTTTGGTGTTTCCAAGGAGGTATGATCCAAGGAATTGTGTGGTCACTGCTCTCTTGGCCTGTGATCTGGGCTTCACCCAGGAAAGAACCTTATTCCCCTGTAGTTGCTAACACACTCCTCTTGGCCCTGAAACTCACACCCGGAGCTGTGTACGGACAATGCAACTGGGTCTTGCACCCTGCACCAGCCAAGTATTCCCTGTAATCTCTTTCTGAGCAGGTGTACAACTCCCTTCCTGGCTCCTACCATTACAGCCACCTCCACAGATCGCCACTGGTGCTGCCGCCTCGTGCGCTCTGGCCAGGCCTCCACCGCAGCGCCACACCCCTCTCCTGCCAACTTCCCAAGCTGTCTCGGCTGCAAAAGTGTCTCACCCTGACCTTGTGTCAGCTCAGCCTCTCCAGAATTCAGTTTGAGGCATTACTTTAAAGTTGTCAATTTGGGAGGGTTCAGCTGCTTGTTCTCTGCCATGTTGGCTCCACTCCCCCCCCCCAGAAATATTGATTTGATTATGGTTCCAGGACTGGGGGGAGGGAATGGAAGAATGGGGAGGGTGGGAGAGCATGGGGACAACAGCTGGTGAGATGCTGAGGCATAAGGAAAACCTGGGCTCAAGCCCCACTTCTGACATACACAGCCTCTCTGTGACCGGGGGCAAATCACTTAACCTCTCAGAGGCAACTCTTGAAGACGATAAATTGGAGACGAGTTGGTTTGCTACACCAATTAAATCACAGAATCCAAGCAGGCAGGGTGCAGGGTGCAGAGGGCCAAACCTAACATAATTGGTTTGTTAAATCCCAAATAATAAGCTGGGTTCCCTTTACCAAAACACCATAATTATCCTCGAGTGTCTGTCAGTTACCTGACTCTTACAGTGCTTAGCACAGTGCCTGGCACATAGTAGGTGCTTAAGAAATATTAATGACTGGCAGACTTCATGCATCTCTCCAACTAGAGAGAGTTTATTTAGACTCTCAACTAACTCCCCACATGTAGTCCTTTCCTGAAAAAGCCCATTCCAGGGAAAAAGTTGTTCCAAGAACACGTTACCCAGGAAGCTTCCAAATGCTCCTATAACACCTGCCATTTACCCAACAATGACCTAATGATAGAGATCTAAGTATACAGTAAGAAACAATAAAGAAGAACAATTTACAAATCAAAAAGGCAGGATGCAGAGGTCTGAGTCGGTGATTAAGGTTGAAGAAGTACCCTAATCAACCAACACACCTATTAATTTCATAAAGTGGGAGCCAGCCACAGAAGAAAGGGGAGATTACAGTGTGCCCACTGGAGGGTCAGAAGCTTTGGTTTAAATGCCAGTACCATGCTGAGAGGCCATCCGTGGTGGAGAGAGTCCTTAACACTAATTACAGTAAGTACTAATTATGATAATAATGATGATAGCCAATAATAGCGAACATGTATGTTTACTATGTGCCAGGCACTGTGCTAAGCACTTTACAACTATTACTTCGATGGATACTCACAACAATTGAAATGTAAGTGCTGTTATTAACCCCATTTTTACAGATGAGGAAACCGAGGCAGACAAAAATTAAGTGACCTGTCCAGTGTCACAGGGCTCATTAGTGTCTGAGGTTCAATTTAAACTCAGGTCTTCCTGATTCTAAGCCCAGAACTCTATCCATTGCACCATTAAGCTGCCTTGAAAGATAAAAGAATTTATCTGTAGGGAGAATAGGGAGTGATCCTGCAATTATAACATTATAAAAAAGGAACTCCCCAGTGAGGAAACACCCTCTACAAATGCAAGTTAGCACCTTCTCTGCAACAAATGTCAGTTGTCCAGGGCATGAGACGGGGAGTGACTTGTCCAGGGTCACCTAGACAGTATATATTAAAGGCAGGATTTGAACCTAAGTGTTTCTGGCTTCAAACTGGCTAAACAAACATTTCTAAAACACCTACCATGTACTAAGTATTATAATTAAGTGCTGAGGATGAAAAGACAAAAAATTTCATAGCATTGCCTCTATCAAGAATTTAACGATATAATTTCAGAAAAACCTGGGAAGATTTATGTGAACTAATGTGAAGTGAAGCATGCAGAACCAGGAGAATACTGTACAAACCAATAGCAATATTGTCCAATGATCAACTGTGAATGACTTAGCTATTCTGATCCATACAATGATCCAAGACAATTCCAAAGGACTCATGATGAAAAATGTTATCTATCTCCAGAGAGAGAGCTGATAAACTCTGAAAGCAGACTGAAGCATCATTCTCCCCTCCCCCCCCTTTTTTTTTGCAACATGGCCAACATGGAAATTTTTGCATGACTTCATATGTATAATTGATTATCACATTGCTTGCCTTCTCAATGGGTGGAGGAGGGGCAGGAGGTAAGGAGAGAATTCAGAACTCAAAATTTTTTAAAAAGAATATTAAAAAAAATAATTTGTTAAAAAAGAAAAGGGGAAAAAAGTTAAAAAAAAAAAATTTAACCATCTATAAAGGTATCTGCTTATCTTTAACTCACCCCCCCCCACGAAGAACTTACAACCAGTATAATAAAACAACCCACTTCTCCACTCACAGAATACTCCTCTAACCTTAAACAGGCAGTTATTTGCAAGTGCTAATTAATTTTATGGCAGGAAGGGCAGGAAAGGAAGAATTCTCCCAGGCCAGAAAGCCTCCTTCCAGGCAATATTGGGACACTCTCCAGACTTGAGGTGAAAGAAGTCTAGTCCCAGTATTCCTACTTTTTGGGAGAAAACGCCCCTAACGATAAGGGAGGAGGAACCTTTCCTTCAATCCTTCCTGAACACATTGTGCTTCTTTGTAATGGGCTGACAACAGCCCTCATAACCCCTCAGAAAGGAATCCTTCTGAAGGATTTTCCAAAGAGACCTCTGCTTACATATTTCCCTGAGGACTGGCGGTGACCTGAGCTCCTCAACGTCTCCAGCTGTGGAATACAAGCTCAGATCAGTCCAACCAAACTGGAAAGAATCCAAATATCACCCTGACAACAGACCGTGTCTGATATTGAGGACAAGCAGGCAGAAACCAGGAGAGTGGATGTTAGCCAATGAGCTGCTTGGCCAGGGCAACCATAAAGGAGATTTTTTTAAAAAAATGGCCCTCTTTTCTGTGCAGGATCCTTCTGTCTCCTCAGTGATGGTGGTGATATTAAAAAAAAGTCAAGAACTCCACTGGGAAAAAAGTCCCCCCAGCAATCAGAGAACTAACAATAGCTAAACTTCCCAGTCTCTCAGCAGCTAGTGCATCCCCCTCCTAGGTAATACCTTCTGTCTACCCTGTACATTCCTAATTTTTTTTTATTAGGCAATTGGGGTTAAGTGACTTCCCCAGGGTCACACAGCTAGTAAGTGACAAGTGTTTGGTCTGAGGCTGGATTTGAACTCAGGTCCTCCTGACTTCAGGGCCGGTGCTCTATCCACTGCGCCACCGAGCTGCCCAACAATTCTAATTTTCTACTGGTTGATGTGGGTACATGAGCTGAGCCTCAAATGAAGCTAATATTTCTAAGAGCCACAGGAGGGAGGGTTGTGTGCTCCACATGTGAGGGGACAGCCTGTATACAAAGTCTCTGAGGTGGGGACTTATTCATAAACTTAAGGAACAGTAAACAGGTCAGTTTAGAATGCAGAATGAAAGACGATTACAATCCCTGTTCGATAAGCTCTCAAGTTAGGGACTGTCTGTTTTTGCACACCTGGTGCCCAGTACAGAGCCCGGTACACAGCAGGCACTTAATAAATGCTTGTTAAATTGAATGGAGTTGACCTCAAGAGTCATAGCTTAAAAAAATACCTTGTAATTATTTTTTATCTATTTTGAATACATTATGTACATACTGTCTTCCTGACAGAATGTAAGCCTCTTGAGGGCAGGGCCATTTTCATTTTTGTCTCTGAATCTCTGGCAACTAGAAGAATGAAGGCACACAGCAGGTGCTTTATAAATGCCTGCTTACCACTTGAATGATCATTCTTACCCTTACCTCCAGCCCAAAGAGCCTGGGTGTATGGCTTCCCCAACTCTTCCCTCCTTCCTCTCCTTCCTACCCCAGCCTACCCTGCCCCATTCTATCTCCTCACCTGAGATGAAGTCCTGCATTTGGCCAGACACAGCTCAAAGTGATCTTCCACAGCCATGAAGAGATTCTGGAATGCCGCTGCAGCCTGGTTGAGGAACCTTTCTAGGAGTAATTGCTGAAGAAACAGAGGAGGTTCAAGCTGTGAGATCCTAGCAAACCGACTGAAGCCTAGGCCCAGGAAGGAACAGGAGATCACAGCTCAAGAACCAAAAGGCACCTCGGAGAGGTCATCTAGTCTAACTCCTTCATTCTACAGATGGGGAAACTGAGGCCCCAGGAAATAAGTTGCCCAAGGTCACACAGGTATAGAACGTGGCTGGGCCAGAATTCCAACCCAGGGCCTCTGACTCCAAATCCAGTGCTTTCCTCCCTGGGGTTGTAAGAGAAGGATGTGTCTTATCTAAGAGAAACGCCAACATGCTCATAACGCCATGGTGGAACTAGCTTCTTTCCTTATAAACATGGGCTGGGTTACAGGAACAAATTTCCTGTCATTGACAGCAGGTTCTGAAAGACGATCCCAGCAGGAGTCTAAATAGTAGTCATAAAATGAAGGACAGGGAGGGGAAAGGAGGGGCAAGAGGAAAAAGAGTCCTTTTTCCCAAGGAGAAACGCAAACTATACACCCTTCACAAGTGATCAGAGGTAATGCTCCATGTTGGTGGGGCTGTGGATAAACAGACACTCATATACCGTGCATGGGCCACCAGATTCCTCTATAAAAATATGCATCCAACTGGCTACATAAGGCTCACAGATTTATACAATCAAAGTTACAAAGCTGGTGATAAACTAAATTAGATTACCTGATCCCAGGCCTGGTGGTCTACAGCTGCTGGAAAAGACTTTGATAATCATCCAGTTTCCTCATTGCATAGAAAAGGAAACTGAGGCCCAGAGGGATTAGTAATTTCTCCAAGGCCACACAGATAACAAAGAGTAGTTGGCATTTGAACGCACACCCCCTCACCCTAACTCCCAATCTTTGTCTCTATCACATCCCTATGCCTCCTTCCTTGGTATTCCTAACAGACCAAGGTCTGGACTTTGAGGCAGGAAGACTAGTTTGAATGCTCCGCCCCAATACTACCTGTGAGAATGGGTTAAGTCACTCCAAATCTCTGAAACCTCTCTTTTTTAAAATCTGTAAATGGGTATAAAGTGCCCCTGGGATGAAGCTGGAACAAGTGAATGTCTTTTAAGCGCCCTTCATGATCCCAATGACCTACCTTGCTGGGCTGCAGGCAGCAGGAGACGCAGTATTCATAGGCGCCACAGCATCCATTGGACAAGCAGCCATCACAACAGAAGCGCCTGGCGCTGGCGGCATTGACGTTACAACAGCCATTCACGAGCAGGTCCTTCCTTTCGCAGACGTAACCTTGGGAACCAAAGAGAAACCCCAGAGTGAAGCAGGAGCACCGTGGACACTCCCCGAGGTGGGCGAGGCAGGCATGCTTCTCTGACTGCACGGGGACAGGTTGTGACCAGTCACGTCAAGAGGCCATTCTGGCTGAGCCATACACAGCCGATTAGACCAGCTGCAGGACATGTGGGTCTGACCATTAGACTTACAAGTTATGCATCGGTGGCAGCGACCTGCAGTGAAACCCAATGCAGAGGCCTCGAGGGTCTGATTCATGCCCTTTAACTGGGCCGTGTTAGCACGATTTATCATCGCTAGTCAAGTGAGAGACGAGATTAAAGAAAGGAGCTTTGGGAACTTCAGAGGGGTCCGGCCTGGGGCATGATCTCCCTGTGTGACCTTGTCTGGGCCACTTCCTCTCCCAACTGAGGACTCCAATCCGATGCTATGATCTCATTTCAAATTCTGACTCAACATGTTCAAAACAGAACTCACTATCCTTCCCCCAGCTCGCCCCTCTGTCTCACTTCTCCATGCTGGGCATCACCATCCATCCATCCTCTCAGTCACTGAGGCTCACAACTTGGGCATCAGCCTTCTGTCCTCACTCAGACCTTCTACAGCCAATTTGCCGCCAAGGCCCATTGCTTCTACCTTTGGAACACCTCTCCTACGTCTCCAAATCTCCTCTGATAACACCACCACCAATATGGGCCCTTATCACCTAGCCTGCTGTGGGGGTCTCCCTGTCTTGTCTTTCTCTAAATTAGTCTATCTTCTATTCAGCAGTTAAAATGATCTTCTTAAAGCAAGGACCATATCACTCTCCTCCTCAATAAACTTCAATGGCTCCCTACCACCATCAGGATTATATACATGTGTGTATACACATATACATATTATATTTATATATAATACACTGTGTTTCTATATTAAAATTTATAATATGGACACACACATACATACATATTAAAACACACATGTATACACATGCATATGTATATGTGAATGTGCAATTATGTATTACATAATATAATAAATATCTAATACATAAAGATAACACATGTATATGTATGTATACATATATAGGTATAAGTATGTGTGTGTATATATAGGTACACCATACATACATATATTCATTTTCCTCTGTTTGGCCTTTAATCTCTTCCCAATCTGGTCTCTTCCTGTCTTTCCAGTTTTCTCATGCTTTCCTCCCCTCAAGGCCTCTTTTACTCAGTGACACTTGCCTCCTCACCGTTCCTCACACCAGCGTCCTTGGCTTTGTCAAATGGTTCAACGTCAGAAACAGGTAAGATTTTATTAGTGGAAATGACATTAAATTTGAGCTGTTTTCTTATTTGCTTGGCTGCTGTACCCAAAGGGCCATGGGACTTCTTCATCTGACTTGCAGCTGAAACCGTATAAACCGTATTTCAGCTGTTAATGAGTCGGAGAGGTCCTGTGGTCCTCAGGGTGCGGGACAAGGAAATTTTCAGCTGCAAATCAGATGGAGAGGTCCTGCAGTCCACAGGTATAACAGCCAAGCAGATCTAATTTAATGTCATTTCCACTGATGGTATCCCCAATTAGAATATGAGTTCCTTGAGAGCAGGGACTAATTTTTTAATTTTCCCCAACACTTAACACAGAGCTTTGCACACGGTAAGTGCTTAATAAATGCTTTATTCATCAAGACTCCCCATCTCCCTGACTCCTGGCATTGCCACTGGCTGCCCCCTTCTTCCTCCTCATCTCCGCCTGTTGGCTTTTTTCCAAGACTCAGTTCAAAATCTCATCTCTGCAGGAGGCCTTTCTGGTCTGTCCTCATCTCTCCTCCTTCCTCCAGTGCTAGTCCCTTCCCTGAAAGATCGCCTCCCATTTATACTGTATGTCTTATGTTTACGTGTTGTCTTCTCCATTAGAATGGGAGCTTACTGAGGGCAAGAACCATGTTGATGCTTTTCCTGATATGCCTGGCAGAGTAAGCACTGAATAAAAAATGCTGATCATCTTACCTTCCCCAATGGGTAGCTAGTGAGTATAACTATCCTTGATAATTAATTAATATATAATTAATGAGTATAATTAATAATATATAATATATAATAATGAATATAATTAATCCCTGATAATCCCAGATGAGGAAACTGAGATCTCGTCCGCTTTTCTCTTTCTACAAATGCCCATGATGAGGCCCAGAGCGGGGCAGCATGTGAGTAGCCGGCTGAAGCCTGGAGAGGGCCAGGGCCATACCTAGCTCATCCGTGATGAGAAGCTTCCCTTGAATGGAGTTCCGACACTGGTTGCTCGGACGGCTGCTGTTGCCCAGGTTAAACTGCACTTTCCACGGGATGGGCTGTTCGCGGTCTTGAACCTGGAGGAGATTCCGGTCTCTCACCGCCCTCTCCTCCTACAAAAAAGACCAGAGAGAAATGATGGTGAGCGATGAATGACTTCTGGACGTCACCTATGGGTCATGGGCCCAGATGAGCATTCTGGGAAAGATTAAACACTTTAAACTTTAAAAAAAGATAGAAACATGGAGAAAACCCATCTACTCAGTGTTCTAGTCATGCCTGAGCTAATTAGAGGCAACCAAGTGGCAAAGAGGGACTTGGAATCAGGAAAACCCAATCCTACAAATCCAGCCTCAGACACTTCCCAGCTGTATGACCCTGGGCAAGTCACTTAACCCTGTTTGCTTCAGTTCCCTCATCTGTAAAATGGGGATCATAACAGCACCTACCTCCCAGGGTCATTGTGAGGATCAAATGAGAATAACTGTGAATTGCTTTGCAAACCTTAAAGTGATGTATGAATACTAGCTGTTGTGCTGCTACAAAATGAACAATACCTTCCTTGCTATTGTAAGGATTTATTTTTTTTTTTTAAATTTGAGGCAATTGGAGTTAAGTGACTTGCCCAGGGTCACATAGCTAGTAAGTGTCAAGTGTTTGGTCTGAGGTTACATTTGAACTCAGGTCCTCCTGACTCTATCCACTGCGCCACCTAGCTGCCCCAATTTTCTTCTTTTTTGACCAGACTCATGATTTCATCTGCGTAGGGAGCCTCCAGTGAAGAATAAGTTTTACATATTTAGATGGGTACCAATTCACCAACCAATAGTCTCTGAGGCTATCTAATAATAGATGAGGGAGGGACTTTAGAACAGGGGATGTCAGAGCTGGGAGGGTCTTTGAACAGGGAATGTCAGAGCTGGCAGGGCCCTGAGAACAGGGAATGTCAGAGCTGGGAGGGCCCTTAGAACAGGGAATGTCAGACTGGGAGGGCCCTTAGAACAGGGAATGTTGGAGCTGACAGAGGCCTTAGAACAGGGGATGTCAGAGCTGGGAGGGGCCCTAGAATAGGGGATGTCTGGGCTAGAAGGGTCCTTAGAACAGGGAGTGTCAGAGCTGGCAGGAACCTTAGAACAGGGGATGTCAGAGCTCAGAGGGGCTCTCTCTCTCTCTCTCTTCCTCTCCTCTGCTATATCTAATCTGGAGAATAACTAATAGGAATATATATTCTATACTCACACACGTACTTTTCTTTGCCTAAAAGAGTCATACCAATATTAGTCATTTCACTTTTCTAAGGCTCAATTTCTCACCAGTAAAATGAGGACAGTGATGGCTCCATTACAGACTCATCCTCATATGGGCTGTTGTGAGAAAGTACTCTATGAGCCCCAAGGCACAATGGAAACAGGCCTTATTGGTAGGGAAACTGAATGGCTATGTCCGCAGTGCTCCAGAAATTTTGTTTTTCAATTCTTTGCCATAATATAAGGCAGAGGTTTTAACCCTGTTAATGTCATGGACCTTATGGGTGGTCTGGGGAAGCCTACAGATCAATCTCTTCTCAGAATTATGCATTTAAATGTATAAAATAAAAGACAAAGGATTATAAAAGAAACCACTTAAATTGAAATAGTTATCCAAATATTAAAAAAAAAAGTTCATGCAGGGATCACACTTTAGAGATGGCTCATCGTTGGGTAAAGGAGGGGGAAAGTCTGTATTTGAAAATGAAGGTGATGTCATTTTTTAAACATGGCCTTTCATTAAGAGCTGAGACAATTTTTACATTATTTTCAAGAAATGTTGACAGTAACGAATCAGACCACAGTCTCCTGACCTCAGATCCAAACCAAACAGGGCCCGTGGCCCCATGCTACCTTCCCTAAACTGCTGAAAGAAGAAGGAACTGAGGCCATAGGCTGGAAAGAAGCCAAGCATGACGGAATCCCTGTTAATATTTATAACTGTTCTGCAGGTAGAGAGAAAGACAGACAGACAAACACACACACACACACACAGACAAAGGGGGGGGGAGGGAGAGGGGGAGGGGGGGAGGGAGGGGGAGAGAGAGAGAAAAATCATTGTTCCACCTTATTCAATGACCAGTTTCCTGGGACTACTTGATAGAAACTGAGGCACTGGTCAAATGCCAGTTTCTACCTTAAGCAAGCTGCTAAGACCTCGTGGGGGTTTGAAACTGGAAATTCCCAAATCTCAGACTTGGTGGGGGAGGGGAGGGTGACTGCACCCAGGCCAACAGAGAGCTGATCAAAAATCCATTCACTATAGCATGCATTTATTAAGCCCCTACTACCTAGCAGGGAAAAAACAAACAAACAGGAAAAAGCCTTTGCCTCTCATGGGCGGTCACATTATCCTAGGCAGATATAAAATGTTCACAGATACATCTATACAAGAAAGAAAATATGTACAAAATCTTCTTGGTGGGAGGGTGGGGCAAGGGAGGGCCTGACAAGAGTTGGAAAGCACCTCAGAGGTCATCAAACCCCATCTGCCCATTTTACAGCTGATGAAACTGATGTTCAGAGGGGTTGTTCAGGGTCACACAGATGGGCAGCCTCAGGGGCAGCATTTGAACCCAGATCTTCTGCCTTCAGAACCAAGGCTCTTTTCTCTGTACCATACAGCCTCAGAAAGCCTTCTTTAAGATAGCAGCATATGAGCAGGGCTCAGACGGGGCTCAATGAGGAAGCTGGGTGGCCCACTGGATAGAGCATCAGACCTGGGAATCAGGAATACTTGGGTCCAAATCTGGCCTCAGGCACTTACTAGCTATGTGACCCTGGGCAAGTCACCTAACTCTGTTGGCCTCAGTTTTCTCATCTGTAAAATGAGCTTCCGAAGAAAATGGCAAACCACTTCCTGTATCTTTGCCAAGAAAACCCCAAATGGGGTCATGAAGGGTCAGATACAACTGAAATGAAACAAGTAGTGATAATAATGATAGCTAACACTTATGTAGCTTTATATATCCCATCCTGGTTTTACAAATTAGGAAACTGAGGCTGAAAAGGGTGAAGTGACTTGCCCAGGGTCACACAGCTAGTGTCTGAGGCTGGATTGGAACTGGGCTATCCCACTCCAAGCCCAGCACTCTATCCATTGTGCCACACAATACCCTTCAAAGATACCTCCAACACCCCTTCCTCATTCCCTCCAGTTGCCAGATGGTAGCATCTCCTAGAAATTAGGAATAAGGGCTAGATCTAAGATTTCACAAAAACGGGGAACTCCCAGGTGTGGAAATTTCCTCTCCCAATGAGGGATGGTACCTTCTCTGTAACTTATGGTCCTTAAGACTTGCCTAGAACTTATGATGAAAAATGCTATCCATCTCCAGATTAAAAACTGATAGGAGTCTGGATGCACATCGAAGCATCCTTTTTCTTTATTTTTCTTGCCTTTTTTTTTTGGTCTATGTTTCTTTCACGTGACTAACATGGAAATATGTTTTGCATGGCTGTACATGTACAATCTATATCAAATTGCTCACCTTTTCAATAAAGGGGCAGGAGAGTGAGGCAGAGAATTTGGAACTCAAAAAAATTTTTAAATGAATGTTAAAAATTGTTTTTACATATAATTGCAAAAAAATAAAATATTAAAATAAAAAAAAAGAATTACCTAGAGTAGTATCAAACTCAAATAGAATCATCAGGGCCACTAACACATACAAAAAGTATGCCACAGTAGACTAAGAAAACCACATATTAATATTAAATATGTTCTATTGTATATTCACATATGTTGTTAAATATTTCCCAATTGCATTTTCATCTGGTGAATGCTGCTGGCCACAAGGCAGCCCTGTTGGATACCTCTGGCCTAGAGCATCAAGATGGTTTCCAGGATCACCCAGTCAGCGGGGAGAATTGAACCTATGGCTCACTGCAACATCAATTCTGCATTCATTAAACCACTGTTCCTGGATGCTGGCCGGCTGATAAACCCTTGACATAGTGACATTTAAACAGTATTGAAAACCAGCTGCATGTATTTCACAGAACTGGCAGTCCAATCTAGGCTTGATTGAGAATCTCCTCCATGCCATATCCAGCAAAATACAAACCCTTCTAGGGCAGAGACGAGGTGTTTGTCTCTGCATCCTGGAGATCTTGCATATGGGAGGTAATGTCCTCTAAATGACCTCTAAACAAGGCGCCATCCCTTCCAGCGTCTGCCCACTACTGCTCCCAAGGAAGCCCTCTCTCCATCTTTACAAAGCTGGCTTTTCTTTTTCCTTCCCAAATCAAACCTTTCCATTTTCCATCACCTGCTTCACGATCTATCCTCTGGGAGCAAGCAGAAAAAAGATAATCCCTTTTCTATTTGACTGCGGCACACTAGAAATCAGAGACAGTAACCTACTCTACCCCCCCCCTTCCTTCTCCGGGCTAAATATTTAAACTTTAGCTTGTTTAAAAAAAAAAAATACTTCACAGGCACAATTCATACAAACATGCTGTCCTTGTTTACACACACACAAAAAAAAAGGTGGGGGAGGGGAAGAACCCTGGTTTCCTAGTACCAGTCAAAACAATTAAGAAAACAAAGGCAATAAGGATCGGTTTTCTCCTCCTTATTCTCCATTCTTCCATACACTCCCGCCAAGTAATTACAGCCAAGTGGGGGGAAAGTTGAAACATTCCTTATTGCCCGTTCAAGGTCATTTTCTTCCTGATCACATATTTGGTACCCCGCCCCCCAACCACGTAACTGGAACCCGGCCCACTGCACCTAATTGTGATTGCTGAGAAAACCGCAGAGCAGAGACAAACAAAATCACGAGACTAGACTCCCGGCTTCGCTATTGACACAGCCAGGGAATGTCGCCTTCCATCGCTTTCATCCACCTGGATCCGTTTCAAATACTCCCCATCCCCCAAGATCGTGAGACTCGACTCTCTCTATCACCTTCTCAGACAATGCTAATGGGGTAATTAAGTCAGGTAGCTCTAGCGTCATTTTAAGGACGTCAACCGAGGCCCTGCAAAGTGGGCGGAGCACTGCGGATTGAGGACGCCTGAGTTGTAGCCCCCGGCAAGGCCCTAGGGGAGGTCTGCGAAACTGACAGATACAGTATCTCTCCCTAACACGTCCTCTGGTGCAGAAAATCCGATTCTGACTTTGTACAAGGTCAAACAATCAATCTTGCCTAACTGATCTTGAGCAAATCCCGTATCCTCTGGGGCCACTCTTCCCATCTATAAAATGAAAGGTTTGAAAGGGGGGGTGAGTCTCTAAGCCCTTCCAGCTCTGGCTCTAAAAGGGAGGGCAAGTGGACTTTACCACTGGCTACCTTGTGACCTTGAGCGTGTCACTGAAATTTCTCCGGGCCTCAGTTTCCATAGTTGTAAAATAAGGGCATGATGAGCTGGGGTCCCTCTCAGCTCTCACTCCAGGATCCTATCATCCTTTCCCGCAGTGACATAGAGTTCCGAGAGTCCCTCCCTGCTGCGTCCTTCTGGGTTCTGAGGGCCCCTCCCTGCTGCGTCCTTCTGGGTTCCGAGGGTCCCTCTCTGCGGTCCCGTTCTCATGTTCTAATGTCCTTTCCAGCACCCAATCACGTCTGCTGGCCTGGAGGTGGCAGAAGGGGGCTTGAACCCAGGTCCCCTCCCCCTACCTCCTAAGAGTTTTATAGCCGAAAGGGACAAAAAAAAATCCACAAGGAAGGGGGTGATACTGACCTGTTTGAAGGTGCTGGTGAGGAAGTAGATGAGGGACAGCCCGAAGACCAAGCCGAGCACCCAGCGCTTCCTCAGGAGCCTCCTCCACACCATAGACGCCAAGTTCACCATTCCCGCCCCCGCTGCCGACTGCGGCGAGCCCGCGGGGGCCGGGGGTGCAAGGGCCTAGGTTCGCGGAGGGGGGCTCCGAGCTAAAGGGGCTCAGCCCGGGAGGCGGGTGGGGCTGCGGGGCCCATCTCGGCCGGCTGCAGCCCGGAGGGGGGCGGGGGGGCTCCGGGCCCCGCCCCCCAATGCGGCAGCTCAGCTCAGCCCAGCGCAGGGCCCCCGCCCCATTGCCTCCCGCACGCGGGGGTCCGAGCAGAACGGGATGGCAAGGCGGGGGTGCTCCTGCGAGCCCAGCTGGCCCCGGGGAGGGTCTCCTGGCCCGCCGGGAGTAAGAGGGGGGCGGGGGTCGGTTGGCTCCGAACCTTGCCCTCTCCTCCACCCCCCGGCTCAAGCTATGCAATGCCCAGCTCTCCCCCGCTGCCCGGGCCCGCGATCTGAGCACGCACCGAAGCACCCGCGGCGCCGCGAGCTTCGGGGCTCCGCCGCCCCCCCGGCCCGGGCCCGCGCGCGCCCGGAGTGAACCCGAAGCCAGAGCCGGAGCTGCTCCTTCTACCTCACACCCTCCCGTCCGCCCAAGCAACCGAGCTCCAACGAAGCTCGCTTGTCATTGGGCGTCGCAGTCGCCGTTCGATCGAGTTTCGGCCTTCCTATTGGCTGAGGCGACGAAGGAAGGCGGGCGTTCGACTGCGGGAGGCAGGAGGAGGCTTTGAGGCGGTCCTAGCGCCCAGGGCTCAAACCAATCTCCAACCCGGGGGAGGAATGGACCGGGGTGGGGGGGGGGTTAGGAGAAAAAAGTCGGAAGTCACGTGGATGCCTTGCGGCCCAGTTGATTGGCTTGGCAGGACATGAATGATGCAGCTGTGATTGCAGGTAAAGAAAGAACCCTGGTTTTTTATTTCCTCGGATGCGGCTACAGCCCTTCCCCCACCCCACCCCCGCCTCTCCACCACGCCCAGGGAGTCTGCAGAGGTCTGTGCGTGCCTGGATTGCAGGGAGAGGTCCTTGGGCACCCGCAGCAGAAAATGCAACCTGGCTGCACGCCCACGCCGCAACGCTGGCAAGAGATGCTTGATACGTGCATGCCTAAAATGCAGTAATGCAAAGGCCCGTGGGGACGGATTAAAACGTTGCATGGGCTGGAAGCCGCGGCTCAGCCTTTCTGGGGGTACTCAGGGCGATTCCAAGGGACGAGGGAGGGTGGTGTTGCAAAAATAGATTTGATTCAAACACGGGGAAATGACATGGGAGAAAAAAGAAGATTCCAAAATGAGATTTTTTTTTCACTCTACAAAAATTGAGATGATCATTTGTTTTCGGCAACTGTGATCTAGGAAAGGGTCTGCTATCATGTTTAAAAGAGGCTTGTAAAGCGGTGCATTAACGGAATGGTGACGTCTAGCCTATTGTCCAGAATTTAGCACAGTGCCCGGCGCACAGTAAGGGCTCAATAAATGCTAATTGATTGATTGTATGGAAGAGTACTTTATTCATTTAAGAAGGTGTGGAAGTTGAGAATCTAGGGCCGGGTTAGATCTGGAGGGCAAGGTCTAGTAAATCTCGTTATGCATGCATCTGTGCTTGGGGATGGTGCCAGCCTCGAATCGCTTCTGCTGGTGATGGCAGGTTTTGGGAGGGATGTTTCCCCACCAAGAGCTTCTTCATTCTTCTCCTTCGATCGCCCACCCACCTTGTCACGAGCTTGTTTGCAAGACGGTTGATGCAGGTTATATGCGGGCATCATATAGTCTATATGGCCGTGAAACAAAGCATCCTCCTTCCAAAAAGATGGGCCTTCGGAGGACGATATGCGTCAACTTGATAGAAGTTCTCCACTGGGGAGCTCCCTACACCACAGAAATCGTAATAAAGGCATGGTTTTAGAGCTGGTGGGACCTCAGAGGCATATCTACATGCACATACACCCCACTATAATAGGAGGAAACAGGAGCCCAGAAAGGATCACAGGAATGGTTTAAAATGTTTTTTAAAATCTACCTTACCAATATTCTTTTACCGGGGGGTCAGAGTGTGGGAGCTGTTCAATTTACTAAAAATCAAAATATCACAGATTTAGAATTGGAAAGGTCCTGTTGACACCATCAAGGCCAATGCTGTCATTTTGCACTTAAGGAAAACCAAGCCCAGGTAAACTGCATTGTTCAAGGTCACACAGGCAAGAAGTTGCCAAGCTGCAATTCTAACCCAGGCCTAACATGCTTTCCATGGTACCAATTTTTAAAGCCCTACAACAGCAACAAGCATTTATTAAGTGCCTACTGTGTGCCTAGAAGAACCCACTTGCCTGGTCTCCCAGGGTAGATAAATTATATCTGCCTACTGGTTTGTGGATTTGTGGGGTGAGGGTAAGAAGGGAAATAACATATACAGAAATAACTTGTACAAAATGCAGCAAAATGTGTTGAGAGAAGTTCTGTGGGAGGCAGAATTGGAGGGAAAAGCAAATAATTTCTGACTAAAAATAATAATAGCTAAATTTCTGTAGTGCCTACTATGAACCAGGAACTGTGCAAATATTATCTCATTTGATTCTCAAACAACCCTGAGAGGCAGGTGCTATTATTAACCTCATTTTACAGATGAGAAACTGAGGCAGACAGAGGTAAAGTGACTTGACCAGGGTCACCCAGCTGAGGCTGGATTTGAACTCAGGTCTTCCTGACTGTAGGCCTTCCATTTTTTCCACTGTATCCTCTAAAGGAATCAGAGAAATCTACTTGGAGCTGGTGGCATTGGAATTGGGCCTTGTAGAATAGATGGGTAGGATTTCAGCAAAAGAAGATTAGGGATAGATAGAAGAGGCATTAGGTAAACACATGAGGGAAGGCTTGGAAAAAAGAGAAAACATTAGATAATTGTGGCAGACTAGAATCAGGGGAGAGTCTGAAAGAAAGTTGGAGAGTACATGTGGGGGCAGGCTACTAACCAAACTGTAGAGAGCCTTGAATGCCAGGCGAAGGAATTTGAAGTTTATATAATAAGGCGCCACTGGAAAAATTTGAGTAGAAAAATTATGTGATCCCAGGGCAGGTCGTTTGGCAAACTGGACAGGATGGATTGGAGGAGGAAGGTCTAGAGATGGAGTGGCCATTTTGGAGACCGTTGCAATAGGCTGGGGATGTGATCAAGGAGAATAAAGAGGAGGAGGAGGTACTGTTGGGGACTCTTGGACCTGTCAGATACCCCTAAGAAGTTCATGGGGAAGAGAGAAAAGCAGAGTCAGCCCTTGGCTGCCAGGGGAGAACATGAGCCATTTCAGCAGGGAACCACCGTCAGCAAAATGCCTGGGGTCTGGCTGGGATTTTCACAGGCCTTTGTGTTTTCTCTTGTGCCCCGTAGCATCTTGTGCAGATTCACCTGACCATTGAGTGCTCCCAGAGAAGAAGGAAAGGAGGAAGGGAAGGTCTGCTCTTGCCGGGATCCACCAGTCCTCCCTGTCACCATTCCTGGAACTTTGTCTGCAGGGGTGAACACCCCACTGGTCCTGAATGCCAACTTCAGGTCCCACCGTCATGGGGCTCTAAAGTCCATGTGGCTCACAACTCTGAACCAGGTAAGGGGTGTGTGCGTGTGTGTGTGTGTGTGTGTGTGTGTGTGTGTGTGTGTGTGTTTTAATGACAGAATCGTACACTCTTAGACCTGGGATCACAGCTTAGACCTTGAGATATCAGAGCTGGGAAGGGCCTTAGAACAGAACATGTCAGAGCTGGTAGGGGCCTTAGAACTTAGAATGTCAGAGTTGGGAGGGGCCTTAGAACTTAAAATGTCAGAGTTGGGAGGGACCTTAGAATAGGGGATGTCAGAGCTGAGCACTTTATAATCTACAAAGCACTTTCCTAACAACCATCCAGTGAGTCAGAAAGGGCATCCTCATTTTACAGATGAGGAAACTGAGGCTCAGAGAGATGAAATGAGTGTCCACAGTCACAGAGGAAGCTCAGCTAAAACTTAGCTGGCCCTTTGCTTCTGTTAGGAATCATGAGAGCAGTTGAAGGAGCTGGAGACGTTTGACCTGGAAAAAAAGAAAACTCGGGGGGAAACGATCTCTGCCTTCAAGTATCTCAAGGCTGGTGTGGGAAAGATTATTTCAGGGAGATATGTTTAGCCTTGTAAGGGAAAACTTCCTACTAATGGGAGCTGTCCAAAAGCTGAAGGTGCTTCCGAGGAGGTAGTGAGTTCCCTGTCATTGGAAGTCTTCAGGCGGAGGCTGGATGAACAAGCCCCCAGAGGGGATGTCATAGGGTTCTATAGGTATTGGGGATAGGGTGCAGATGGCCTCTGAGATCTGTAATTCTTGGGTATTTTCTCTTTCGTAACCAGCTTGAGCAACAGCTGTAAAACAGGAAATGTGGGGCTGGGAAGCGTATGGAAAACCTGGGGCCTGATGGCCAAGCTGTCATGTTCATGTAATGCCTCACAACCCAACACAGAGTCATGAGATCATAGATTTGAAGCTGAAAGGTATCCCCAAAATCCTCCCATCCAGTCCCTTCATTTTGCTGATGGGGAAATGGAGGCCAAGAGATGGGAAGGGCAAGCTAGTCAGTAAAAGAGCCAGGATTTGAACCCAGCTTCTCTGATTCGAAATCAGTCAGTAATCTAGCAAGTAATAACTGCCTACTACGTGCCAGGCACTGTGCTGTGTACTGGGGATATAAAGAAAGGCTAAAGCTCCCAAGCCTACTGGGGGGAGACAGCATGAAAACCACTATGTCTGAAGAAGATATAATTGGGGAATGATAATCTCTGGGAAGACCCTTAGATTCAGGAGGACTAGGAAAGGCTTCTTGAAGAATGTAGGATTGTAGCTGGGACCTGAAGGAAACCAGGCAAGCCAGGAGGCAAAGATGAGGAAGGAGGAGGTGGGGGGCAGCCAGTGAAAATGCCCCAAGTCAGGAGATAGGAGCAGCAAGAAGGATGTCGTCATTGGGCCAGAGAATGTGAAAGGGAGTAAGGTGTAAGAATACTGCAAAGGTAGGAAGGGCCCCAATTACTAAAGACTTTAAAAGCCCACAGGATTTTATATTTCATCCTGGAGATAAGGAGCCACTGGAGTTTACTGAATGG